TAGGAGTAGATCAGGACCTAGACCATCTGAGGAACATGGACATGCACAAGCCTATAGGAGCTGATGAAACACATGCCAGAGTCCTCAGGGAACTGGCTGATGGTGAATCCTGTCTCTCCTTAGTAATCTGTATTCATCAAAGAACATGCCATGGCTGGAGAAGTCGCAGCCCTGACATCAACATCAGTCATGAAGCCAGGTGTTTACCTGCACTGATCATGTTAGCTTCCAGATTAATGGACTTTATGGCWGAAAGAGACTTTTGGATCATGTGACTCCTGTATTTTACTGAGCACTAATTGATTTCCATTGGTCCTTACTSTCAGCCTTGTATCTTCCCCAAAGACAAGCTTGTTAACCATTGGAAATTTAAATGCAATATACTTTGTAGACCTTCTGTCAGTGGAGGGCTTAAGAACTTGGACAAATATCTGTTATGAAGGGTTTTGGCAAATCAAGGCTAACTTGAGGCAAGGAAGKATTTGAAGCTCTAAAGGCCATGCCAGCCCCTCTGCTTGTTCTCTTARTRCTTAGCATTCTTACATGAATGSAAGTCTCTAGTCCGATGGTATCTGTGTGTGGTTTGTAAGTAATTCTTGTGCCAGTTCTGTGCTTGGTAGTCTGGACCTGTCATAGTAAAGAAGTGAACCAGTGTGGATTGCTGAGAACAGYATCCTTAGATCTCCCTGGGATGTGCACAGACCAGCTAGGGACCAAGGCAGTGTGACCTGAGACAGGGCACTTGAGAGATACCCGCTATCATAACCTTGCTGTGGACCTTCTGCTACTTTTAGTCTCCACCTTCCTCTGAAGTAAATGGTGGTGTGTGTCTTGYGGACATTTAGCACATACAGATTTTGCCAAGTGCCTTACAAGGTTGAAAAAACTGGATRCTCCTTACCTAGTTACTGCTTTTTACATCTTCAGTGTCTCTTGGCAAATCCTATGTCGGTTAGTGTCCCAGGCTGGCTATTTTGCATGAAAAAGATTTCATTAATTTTGACCTTAGTCCTCCATTTTTGTTGGCAGTCCTCTYGTTCCTCTGTTACATGAAAATGTGCTTGTTTCATCACAGTGCCCATTTTCATTTCCCCCTCCTTTGCAAATAAACAAGCATTCTGCTTCAGTTCCTCTCTATAAGGGGATTATTTTGTACCTTGTCTTTCCATATCTGTATGATTATAATTCTGCTGTATGCTTATAGAGATGTGATGAGCACTGGCTGCAGTGTGGTAAAATCACAGTACTGACTACTACCTTGTCCTGTAATGTCTTCTGTCAGGCTCTTTGTAACTCCTTCAAATTTTATTTTCTGAGTGAATGCTTCTGTCAAGTGCAGCAGCCATCCTCATCTGTTAATATCTTTAACAATGTAAATTGCACAYGAAGTTGTAATTAGTAGAGTCCTGTATTTTCTTTGAAGAGCTGGTGTGTAAGTGTGCCATTGCAGATAACGAGTCAGTGTGTCTTCTGTAGAGACAAACAGTGCCCCATGGATTTGTTATGTTCCTATTCTATTCTCCATGGTGTCCCTGCTTTATTAGGATTAGAATTCTTTGATAGGTCATGTATATAAAAGCAGCCTGTCAGCATATTGCACTTCAGTGTTTTGAAAATGGCTCTCASCAAGGTTTCTAAAGAATATAAAAGCTAATAAGGGAAATATATAGTCAATAAAGAAAACTCCTCATAAGCAGTAAGAAAAAGCAGTGACTCATACAATGATTAAGGTTGGAAGGGACCCCTGGTGGTCATCAAGCAGAGCTGGTTGCCCAGGACCACATTCCAGSCTTTGAATATCTCCAAGGTGCGAGACTCTACAACCTGTATGAGCAACCTCTCACCCTCACTGTAAAATTCCATTTGTTGATGTGCCAAGGGAATCTCTTGTGTTTCTGTTTGTGCCTATGGCATGAGGTCCTGTCACTGGGCACCACTRAAAAGAGCCTGGATCCATACTCTGCATGCTCCCATCAGGTATTTGTATACATTACTGAGCTCCCCTCTGAGTCTTCTCTTCTCCAGAATGGAGCACTACCAGAACTCCTGGCCTTTCCTCACAAGCGAGATGCTCCAGTCCCTTTGTCATCTTCATGGCTCTTCTCTGCTCTCCCCAGTATGTCCATGTCTCTCTTGCACTGGGCAGAACACTCTAGCTGTGACTTCATCATGCCACACTGAGGGGAAGGATCCTCTCCTGGACGTCACTGAAGCTCAGGAACCCTGCCCTCATTGCTGCTTTGTGTTCCATTCAGGGTCTTTGTCTGACAAAGTGCTCTCAGGCTGAGTGACTCTC